GGTGTCCCAGTGCAGATGGCGCTGGGCTGAGGAGGACCAGCGGGATGATCCAGCTTTAGCAGCCCAGGGCCAGCCCCAAACCCCTGCACTGTGGCCCCTGGGTGCCCCCTCCCACACTGCACCTGTCCAAGGGCCACTGGGTGTCTGGTCCTCCCCAGGAATGGGGCCTCTGCCACCTGGGGCTTGCCGGTCTGCAAAGCGACAGCAGCTCAGCCCAGCGCTGCTTGAATCACCTGTAATGAGCCACATGAAAAGGCTGGGGCACAATTAGAAGGGGATCCACTAGAGTGAATGAGGCCCTTAGTTTTAACAAGCACAGCCCTCTGGACAAACGCCAGACACCTGACCACGGCAGGACGGGCTGCAGTGGCGACAGCTCCTGTTACAGTGGAGGTGACAACACCAGCAGACTCAGCTCCTGTGGGATGCGGTGCTGGCCCCGGGGAGGGGGCACCAGGATGGAGCAGCTGGCAAGGATCCCTTCTGCCCATGGGACGGGTATCTCCTGGGGTGCTTCTCAACATGCCACGCACCACAATTACAGCTTTTCCCAGGGAAAAAGTGTGTTTCAAAGAAAACAAACCACCCAGCTTGGGAGCAGAGGGGCTGAAAGTGAGCCCCAGAGTGCAACGTGGCCTCGCTGCCGTCACCTCCTCCCCAAGCACCTCCTGCCCAGAGATGCTGGTGATGACAGGCAGCGCTGGAGAAAGGAGTCACCCTCAGCATCTCCTGATGATCTGAGCGTGCTAAGCTCGCTGCTTTGCTCCTGGCCTTTTCCCCACGACCCCCCTTGCTGGGAAAACAGACTGTTGGGGCCCGTCAGTGGGGCCAGGCAGGGGACACACAGCCCTCGCTTTCCAGTGCTTGGCCCCTGACAGCAGGCAAGCAGGCTGGAAAAAACAAAGAGGCAATTAAAATCGAAATCCAACTGAGCTGCCTGCCTCTCCCCCCATCCCCAGAGCTTCGGGCTCCTGCAATCTGCTAGTGCCAGGGCTCTATGTCCCCAGACAGGACGTCCCCTGGGCATAGCTGGGTGCACTGACACCCCGGTGCAGGGAAACCCCCCACAGGCAGGCACACACCGCAGCAGCCGCCCTGCACGTACAGACACTTGCTGTTTCATTTTTCATTGAAAGGCTCTGATTTTCCCCAGAAAAGCCCCTGGCCAAAGCCCCCCACACCCTCCAGAGGGGCATGTTGGGCTGTGACTTGGGGCACTGGGTGCAGGCAAAGCCCAGCTACTCCCTGCCAGCTCCTCCTTAAGCAGAGCAGCTTCTCCTGCCTTCGCTTGCGGCCGGGAGGAAACGTTTGCTGGGGTTGGGTCCTGCTCTGTGGCTGGCAGAGCGGGACAGGCAGCGAGGCACTGCTGGCCCCGTCCCAACGAAAGCACAGGGACAAAAGGGCACTGCGCCTCCCTTGCCCTCCAGCCCTCTCCTCGCACGGCCCTGCTTCCTACACCCTCCCAAAGGTCAGCTATCAAGCTGATTAACATCGCTGGGGCTGAAGTAACTCTGCCGTGGGGCTTAATGCAGCCAAAAGTGATCCAAGCAGGGCTAGAGAAGCAAGTTTTGCCTTCCCCACTCACAGGCTCACTGCTGCGTTTGCAGAGAGGAGCCTGCATGACTGCACGGGGGAACAAATTAGGGCGGGAGGGAGCAGAACAGCAGAGCAGCAGCTTGGGTTTTCCCTGGTTTAAGTCCCTTTCCTTGCCATGGTGCAAGAAGGAGAGGCAGGTGCCTGCCCAGCCCCAGTGCACCCAGCCAGCCCCTCTCATGGTTCGGAGTGCTTTGCTCTGAACCAGTCCTTCACACCCTCTTCCAAAAAACTGCCCAAGAGGAACTTGTGTTGCTCTTCTCGAAGGCTGTGGTGAGCCTGTAACACTTTTAGAAAATTTTCTCAAGGGAAGCAGAAGTCTACAGGCAGCAGACGGGTGTTTTCTCCTGCCCTGCTGGGGAAATTGCCCTGTTGCTGCTCTGGTTCTGCAACCGTGTCTGTGTAGAAAATCCACACATTGTGTGGTCAAACCTGAACAGGGACTGCAGAAAGACCCTGTCTGCTCAGCCACCCACATCAGCACCCAGGGATGCTCCTCCCTGCCTCTTTCATGAGTGTCACCGTCCCAGTCTGGTGCCCTGCCTGCACCTGCCAGCCCTGCACCGGCAGAGGGTGAGCAGAGGGTGGTTGTGCCCATGTCCCATCGTCACCAGTCTCTGCCATTGCCTAGTGAGACCATTTACTTCACCCAGGTGCAGGAAGGTTGTTCTGGGCCCTGGCCAAGCAGGCCAGCCTGCTCCCATCACCAAACCCCTTCTCAAAGTTTTGCGCACCCTTCCCCTGGGTTTCAGCACGTTTTGATGCTGCAAATAACCTGGCAAACACCAAAGCAGCTTCAAATCCTGCCAGCTCCTTTTAAAAGGGAGCAATAACAGTACTGGGAGTGCCATGAGCACTGTCATTCGCTCGTACATATGTCAGAGCGGAAGGAGGGGGGTGGTTCGCTGGTGTTGATAGTGCGGAGCGTTAGGTATGCAAATAACTCTAACTCAGTCTGGGCAAACAGCAACGAGGAGGCAAGAGCAACTCTATCTAGACCATCTTGCGACAATTAAATGGCAATTCTGGGTTTCTTTTTGCAGCCAATTTGATTTGAAGCCGGTTTGCTTTATTACCCTTTGGATACTCTTCTAAAACCTAATCACATCCAACTCCTAGGTCTGCTTTTCAGAGGAGAAATCTATCTGTGATGCACCTGCATCCGCCTCGCTCCCTCTGTCCCAGATTCACATTTAAAGGGAATTAAGGACATGCTCGGGGAAGATCAAAAATAGAAATACTCAGAGCGAGCTAACAGTTATGGTCTGAAATATAATAAAATTATATTTAAACATATACGCTCCTACACCATGGATAAGAAGACTGGAGCAGGAATATATGAATGAGGTATCTTTGGGGAAAGCATGCCACAAGGCCCAGGGGCTTTCCATGAGTTCTGCTGAGCACTAACAGCCTTGATAACTAACACTGAGTAGGTTCAGTTAATTTTCTTGGGGATGTCTCTCTGATACGCATTTCACGAACAAGTAAAATGTAATGGCCAAAGGGCTGGTGGGAAGAGCAGGCAGAACCTGGAGCAGGCAGCACAGGCAGGGGACACAGTCCTCACTTCTTATACTGCAAATGAGAGCTGCAGGTGGTGAAACAGTCTGAGGCAGGACCACAGTGCTCTGCCCGACACAGAACTGGAAACCACAAGATGCTGAGAAGCCCCAAGATGCAAAACAGCCCAAAAAAGGGTCAAACCAATGCAGAGAGGGCAAGTCTAGCCCTAATGATTCAACACAGTGTTTGGATGCAGCTTCTGGCCCGGGAGTTTCCTTTGGAGCTGATCCCAGATGCTGGAGGGCAGAGCTCACCTGACTTGGGCACCCGACCTCTGCTCTGACATGGGCCAGGGGTCCCCCATAACTCACATACAGCCCACAAAGGCTGTTTTAGGGGGACAGCACAGGGGAGGACACAAGGCTGCACCAGCCCTTCACTGCAGTGCTTTTGCACCCACAGCCAGGGCTAAGGAGGGCTGGAAACTTGGTCAGCGGAACCACAAATTCACAGCACCAGGAAAGACAAGGCATCACCCAAAGCTCCCGTGGCAAGGGGCTCAGCATCCCGCTACACCACCAGTGACTGGTAGCAGCTGGTGCCAACAGGATGCCCCCAGGGACCCTGGGCATCACAGAAGGTGCAGAACTCCTGCTGAGAGCCCCCAGAGGCTCAAGCTGGTGTTTCCACATGTCAGCTTGGCCTAGCTCCTGCCAGCCTGTCCACAAGCTGATGGGCTCCCCCTGGCCTCACTAAGGAGAGGTGGTCATCTCCCAGCTCAGGTAGAGAATGTTGCAGGTGGCTTGGGGAAAGCAGCAGCCCTGGGAAGAAGCAGGCCAGCCAGCTGCACCTAGCCCCATGCAGACCCCCAGGCGGGGACACCCAGAGGTGCCCCAGAGAAGAATCAGCCAGACCTACTGGTTCATCTCCTTTATTAGTGTAAACACACCCCCACCCCCCTCCTCTCCCCACTATTAAATACAAACCAGGAGCAGAGCGCGGCTCCTCAGTCGCTTTCTCCTTAGGAGATGCACAGCCAAACCCTCTGCCATGCCCACCAAGCTGGGCACCGCGTCCCCCGCCCCCGAGGGCAGCCCCACGGTGGGGAGGGCTCCCACCTCTGTTGGGAGGCTCTCATCCGAGGGCTGCGACCTCCGACGTCCTATCGATACTGCGAAGGCCAAAGCGGCCCGGGTCACGGTTCCCATGGGGAGCAGTTCATGGTACATGAATACAGCAGGATCCTCTCTGGCACCCCCTGTGCCCACCGGCCTCAGGGCCAGGACACTCTGTCTCAACACACTGGGAGTTCTCTGGCTCATTGCCACATTACGAAACCCCGAAACCAACATCCTCATTGCTCTTTTGGGGTGCGATATGCCCCATCCTGCTGTCCCTGCGCGACTGGGACGATGCTCTGAAAGAGCGAGGGCATGGCCCTGTGCCGGGGTGCTGGAGGAACCATTCACGATTGCCCCCAGTCCCGTGGCAGTCACGGCCCCACACCAGGGGGTCCCTGGGCTCTGCATACCCTGGTCGAGGGGGGACAGCAAGAGACAGGGCAGCCCACTGCTTCCCCGCTGAGCAATGGGGCCAGGACAGAGGGATGGGGCTGGCAGCCAGCAGTGCTCGGGTGAGGAGCTGGGCGTTCCAGCTTGAAGCTCAGCGACTCTGACCCCACCTCACCCTGGGGTCTGCACAACCGCGGCCACTCCAGAAGGACCTGGGCACCCCAGGTGGGCAGACCCCAGCCCGGGCAGCCCCAGCGGGGCAAGTCATGAGCTCGGGCACCGGCAATCGCTGCAGCTGCCAGAAGGAGGAAGACAGATTTGGGCAGCAGAAGAGGTGGGGTGGGCAGGCAGGCACGGCAGGGCAGGGCCAGCCCCTCCGTGCCCCGGGGTTCAGGTGCTGTTTCCCTGTTCCTGCTCGAAAAGCACCATGGCCAGCTGGGATCGAGAGCCTACACCCTCCAGGCTGCTCTGCACACAGCGGTGGTAGATCTCCTCGCTGAGCCGGGGGTTGCAGGCCTGGTGCCGGTAGTGCTGCAGCAAGGCAGGCTCCACTGCCCTGAAGACATGGAGGCTGGAGTACTTGATGAACATGTCGTAGATGTCCAGGGTCTCCAGGATGTCCTCATTCTCCTGCACATCACCCGCCATGCGGGTGCGTGCTGCCATGTAGTCAGCGTTGTAGAAGCAGGCTTCGTGGAAGACATCACGGTCAAAGTGCCCTGCATCCCGCAGCAGGTCCAGCGTGGCAGGCGGCACCTGGTTGTGGTAAGCGATAGCAGGGTTGTAGCCCTGGAAGTGGATGGGGAAGAAGACCTGCCAGTTGTTGATGGTGTTCATCCGGCAGCGGTTCAGGAAGTCGACGGTGACCTCCGTCCCCACGCCAGCCACAAAGAAAAGCGTGTCCACGGGATGCTTCTTGGAGATAATGTCCATGACCTTGATTTGGGAGGGTGCATCTGTCTTAACGCTGATCCACGGAATCTTCACCTCTGCATACTTGCGCTCATACTCTGTGATCTGGGCCTTCACGGGGGCAAAGATGTCATTCTGGGTGACCTGCTGGGCTTCAAAGGGGTCATAGATGAAGAGAAAGGTGAGCACCGCGTTCTCGCTGCTCTCAAAGGCGGCTGCTGCATAAGTCTCCAAAAAGTGGGCAGCATAGTCCCGGTCATGAGCCGTCAGTGGCAGGATGACATTGATGCGGCTGGCCTCCGTCACGTAGGGCATGGGTATGATCTCCACCTCACTGAGGGGACGCACAAGGTGCACACGCTTGGTGACAGAGCGGCTGTGGCCCTTCTGGGTGACCACCTCCACCTGGAGGTCCCGCGGGGAATCCC